CATAAGTGAGTCATTTAATCTCTCCGTTTCTTGGTTTCTATATTTGTAAGCTGGAGCTACCTGTCCTACTAATTCATATGATTATAAAATTTAGACCTAGAGATTGGATCCAGCTTCCTTAAAGGAGGAAACAGAAACCCAAAGAGGTCAAATAAATAACCCCAAACTACATAGCTCATTCCTAGCAGCAAGGACTAGCACTCATGTGCCCTGACTCTTGGTCCAGTTCTCTTTCTATCACATCATATTATTTAGGGCAAAGAGGGACAAACAATCTTTCTGAAAAGCAACAATTGCATAATTGCTTCTCTAATTCAAATGCTAGAGTCCAAATTAAGTATTTTTATCTGAATCTGTCTTTAATAGAGCTATATTTTTTAAAACTTCCTTTCTCATCACTGCTAATCATCCAAGATCACTGTGTAAATGAAAACCTTATCTAGCCTTTTTTTCCCCTATTTATTGAGTGACATCTCAGAACTGCTGTTTGTATGATCTTGATTGTTTCTATGGAGATAAACTGCAATATCAAACTCCAGTCATAAATCAGCCTAAAAAACGAATCTTAAAAACAAAAAAGGCTGGGTAAACAAGGAAGATTTTTCTTTAAATAGCTGTCTGTAGTTAGCAACAAAAGGAAATTTGGAAGAAAGTGAAAAGGGAATCCAGTGAATGGTCTTAAACTCCCAATTTGAAGCTGGTTGTTGTTTTTGTTTATGTTCTTTTTGATTCCTGTTTCAATTTAATTCAACAATTATTGTTTAAAGATCTATTATATGCAAGGCACTATGCTAAGCACTGGATGTAAAAGCAAGGAAAAAATTAAGCACTTAATAAGGATCTATTATGTGCTAAGCACTTTACAAATGTATAATTTGATTCTCACAGTAACCCTTGGGAATGTAGGTGCTCTTATTATCTCTGTTTTATAGTAGAGGAAACTGAAACAGACAGAGGTCAAGTGACTTGCCCAAGATATCACAGCTAGTAAATGTCTGAGATCAGATTTGAAATTTTCTGACTCTTGGCTCAATATGCTATACACTGTGTTGCCTAGCTCTCTAGGCAAAAAAACAAACAAAAAAAACAAACAAAAAAACCCAACAACAACAACATGAGAGGCTATTTATGCAAAGACAGACAAGGAGACGGAATGTTAATTATGGAAAAAAGCTGGCAGGCCAGTTTGATAGAAATGAAGAGTGTGTGGAAAGGATAAATAGGAAAGGTAGTGGAAAACAAGACTGAAGAGAGTTTTAAATACCAAGGTGAGAATTTTGTAATTTATCTAGGAGATAATAGGGAGTTATGGAAGATTTTTTTAATGGAGAGGAGTGACATGTCAGACCTCCGGATTTGGATTATCATTTAAATAGTTCTGTAAAAGAGGAATTAGAGAGGAAAGAGACTGGGGAGCAAGAAAGCCAACTAGGAGGCTATAGCAATAATCCATGTGAAAAGAAGAGTTGTTTATATGCATACAAAACATGCATTAGAACTGACAAGAGGTAGCAGGTGAACAGACATAGAAATTGAGAGAGCTCTTCTTCTTAGCACCATCTTGTCGACTTCCATTGCACCATGAGAGCCAAGTAGAGGAAGAAGCTAATGCGTAGGCTGAAATGCAAGGGAGAAAGATGAGGCAGAGATCCAAGTAACCAAACTGTGCTGACCACAGAAACCACAGAAGCAGAGATGGAATGACCCTTGGTGACATTCTCAGGAAGGCAGAAACCTTTGGGAGACATCACCCCACCTTACAAAGGACTCTACTAGCTCTATCTCCATCTGATAAGGACTCTTCCATCATCTGAACACCTCCCTGACAAAAGGACATGCCATCATTTAATGCAAATTCCATCTACCTGCCTCTTGATTTTGTGCCATGGGACTTTTGTCATTCCAGACTGAATGTTTTCTTTGTGGCTTAAGTGTAGCATGCCTGTATAATAAATCTTCACTACTTTCTTGTTTGAAAAAAGAAAGAAAGAAATTGAGGGAGAAAAAAGAATCAAGGATGTGTCTAAAGTTGCAAACCTGAGGAGAAGAATTTGAGGAAAAGATAATGAATTCCGTTTTGTATATATTGATCTTGAGATATATATGAGACATACAGACAGAGAAGTCCATCAGTCAACTGGTAATACAGGACTGAAGTTTAGAAATGAGATTAGAGTTGTATATATATATATATATAGATCTAGGAGTTATCTGTATAAATATAGTAATTAAACCTGTTGTCGCTGATGAGGTAATCAAGGAATAGAGGGTAGGATTGGTTGGTTGGTTGTTGTCCTTTGTTCTTGAAGAGGACCAAAATGACATCACTATGTTGGACTTAAGATACACTGTGTCTGACCACAGCTGATCAAACCAATATGAGCTTGGAAGGTTCCACCACAGGTCAGGCACAAAAAGTCCATATGAACATTTGGAATGGAGAAATCTCTGAATTTGCACATTTCACATTTCTCTTGAGCTACTGCAATTCTGCTTCACTCATACAGCACAGCACTATCTTTGATGCAGGCATCAAAGGATGCCATACTGGGCAGTCTTTTTCCAGAGTCTCTCATGTCATGCAGTCAATTTCAAAGTTCTTCAGTGAGATCTTCAGTGTCCTTGTATCGCTTCTTCTGACCTCCATGTGGTCACTTCCCTTGAGTGAGTTCTCCATGAAACAGTCTTTTAGGCAAATGTATGTTTAATATTCAGACAATGTGGCCAGACAATGCGCTCTCTGCAGTAGAGTTTGAATGCTTGGCAGTTTAGCTGGAGAAAGAACTTCAGTGTCCAGTACCTCACTTGCCAGGTGATCTTCAGAATCTTCCTAAGACAATTCAAATGGAAGTGAGAGTAAGAAGAGAATAGAAGAAGGCTCAGGATTAGAGCATTTAGAAATACCCACATTAGTTGCTGGGAGAAAAAAAGGTGATCCAGTGAAGGAGACTGACAAGTAAGGTTTAAACAGGCAGGAAATGAACCAAGGAAGAAGCAGTCACAGAATCCAAGGGTGAAGAGAATGGGGTGACCAACATTGTCAAAAACTATAAAAAATGTCAAGAAGAGTGAAGAATAAGAAAATGTTATTGGCTTACTTGTTAGGAGACAATTGGCAATCTTGAAGAAAACAATTTTAGTTGAATTGTGGGATTGGAAGCCAGATGGCAAGAGATTAAAAATGTGAATAAGGGATTAGGAAATTCAGCAATAAGAGGAGGCAACCCTGTTTGAGGAGTTTGACTATGAAAGGAAAAAAAGGTATCGTATGATGGCTAGAAGACATTTCAGGGTCAAGTAAATCTTTTTGAAGATAGAAGAGACTTGTACATATCCAGCTCTTTATGGAGCCAGCACATAAAGAAATACTGAATATAGCAGAACAATGAAGATGATCAAAGAAGCACGTTTCAAGAAGAGACAGGAGGGAATGGGATCAAGAGCAAGAGTGGAGAGGTTAACCTTATCAGGAAGGCCCACCTTTTCCCTCAATACTAGAAAAGGAAAAAAGAATGCAAGTGGATTATGAAGAGATATTTCAAGGTATGAAGCGTAAGAGAAAAGGGAGAACGTGATGGATGGACTCTTCAGTGATGAAAGTGATTGAGAAGGAGATGGCAATGTGGGAAGGATGAGGAGAGAAGCAAAGCTTTAAGGGTGTGATAGAGGGCTAATCAGGGAAAAATAAAAATATAACTTTGTAGTAAAGAGGACCTAGCTAAGACCAAATTAAAAAGTTGTAATGAATCCAGCTGGCACAATTGTGTGACTTTCCTCCAGTAGCACTCATCAGAATATGACTAAAAGCAAAGAAAGTAGATGGTGGGGACAATGTGGGGCTGGGGTTCACCAAGTTGTGACTGGCAAAAGGACATGAGGCAATGATGTCTAGGACAGCTAACAGTATGTAACTTGACTAGCCAGTGCTAGGATTAAGACAGTGAGCAGAGAAGTCAGTCCAGAAGAACAAAGAGGGATTAGAGAAGAAGGAAGAGTCAAAGGAATGGTGGCCATGGTAAGAAGAGAAAATGGATTTAGAAGGGATGAGGCAGAAAGAGAATGAAGCACAATAGTTGTTGTTAGAGAAAGGATTTTCAGAGATCATAAGAGCATGAAGATGGAATAGTTTGGGGCAGAAAAATCAAACATCCAACAATCCTGATATATGGGTAAAGTAGAGAAAATGTGAAGGTCGTGCATTTTTAGGTTGGCAAAAATGGGGAGGCCAAGTGGATTTAAAGGGGGAAAGCACAGAATCTGGAGCCAGAGGACACAGACTGAGTACGTATCCTGATCCCAGCACTTACTTCCTGTATGATCTGAGCCAAATAACTCAGCCTTTCTGGGCCTCAGTTTCCTCAACTCTAAAATGATGGGGGTGGACAAAATGACATTGAAGATCCCTTTTACCTCATGGAATCACAAAATATGAGAGTTGTAGGGACTTCAGCAGCTATTTAGTCCAGCCCATACACGAAGGCATCTCCACTGGATTATGAATCTGTGATTCATTCTTTGAATTAATTAATTAATTAAAAAAATAAAGAATAACAAATAATTGTAAAAATATTCATTGTTCATATCTGAAGTACACTAATATAATAAAAACCATAATGCTCCCTAAATAAATGTATTGCCTTAGAACGATGCCACACAAACTACACTGGGGATGAAAATTCGACAAAATAATTAAAATTCATTTGGAGGAAAAGAAATTCTAGCATTTCAAGGGAGACTATCTTAACAAGAAAGAATGAAATGGGAATAAAATTTCCAGATTTCAAATTACAATTTAATAAGGCAGCAATTGTAAGAACTATTTCATACTAGTTAAAAATGAGAAAAGTAGTTCAGTGGAATGGACAAAATAGGCAAGAAACAATCAAACTCAATAGCATGGTGTTCAATGAATCTGAGAATATGACTTAGAGAACCCCCATTTGACCAGAACTGATGGAAGACTGGAAAGCATATTCCATTATTCAAAATTGATAACTTACCTTAATATAAAATGTTGCACCCTAAAAAAAAAATAGAAGACAATAAGATCAAGTATCTTTTACAATTTTGGCTTGGGGAAAATTATTAATCAAACAAGAAACAGGAAATCCCAAAAGATAAAATAAATTATTTTAATTACATGAATTTGAAAATCTTTTGCACAAACAAAATCAATACATCAAAGGATTAGAAGTGAAGCTATTGATTGGGCAAAAATACTTGCATCAAATATCTCTGATAAGTGTCTGATAGCCAATATACACAGGGAACTAACAAAAATATACAAAGCCAAGAGCCATTTCTAAATGGATAAATAGTCAAATTATATGAAAGTTATCAAAAGAAGTGCCAACTACCAACTACCACCATATGAAACATTGGTCCAAATCACCAATAAGAAAAACGTAAATCAAAACAACTGTAAGATTTCACCTCACATCCAACAAATTGGCAAAGATGACAAAATATGGGGATAATCTATGTTGAAAGAATACTGCTTTTATTGGAGCTATGAATTGCTATTCTAAAAGGCAATCAGGAGTTAGTGCTTTTTTCTTTTTCTTTTTTTTTTTGAGGTAATTGGGATTAAGTGACTTGCCCAGGGTGACAGAGCTAGTAGAGAGTTATGCTTTTTTAAAAAAGTGACTAAGGGGCAGCTAGGTGGTACAGTGGATAGAGCACTGGCCCTGAAGTCAGGAGGACCTGAGTTCAAATCCAGCCTCAGACCAAACTAGCTGTGTGACCCTAGGCAAGTCACTTAACCCCAATTGTCTAAAAAAAAAAGGGACTAAAATGTTTGTACCCTTTCATCCAGAGTTCCACTATTATAACCCAAGAAAACAAAAGACATAAAGACAACAAAACAACATAAAGACAACAAAATGCTCATATCAACATTTTCATGGTAGTAAATTACTAGCAACAAAATAGGTGTCTATCAGAGAATAACTAAGCTAACTGGTAAATATAAATGTCATGGACTATTATTGAACCTTAAGAAATAATATAAAGAATTCAAAGAAGCAAAAGAAAGCTATAATTATTGATGTGAGGTTAAGTAAGCAGAACCAGGAAAATCATTCCCTATTTTAAAATTTTTTTTTTAAAGAAGGAATTTCTTTCCAGATAGGGAGAGTGAGGAGGGATATATTTATAAGTGAATATGTATGGAAGGAGTGTTGATGTAGGAATCACTAATCCATTGAGTCTCCCATTCTGTCTGACAAGATTACAACATGCCATACTTGAGTGGCCCTTTTGTAATTTTTAAGGGAGACAGACTTTGAGCGATTAAGTTTGTATATGAAAAGATCAGAATTGGCACTTGCCCCAGGAGCAGATTATTTTGGTGTTCTTTTTTTTTCACTCATTTATTGATTTAGGCAAAAGAAAGAGAGTAAGAGTTTTAAAAGGCGGGATGGGAGATGATCCTGACCAAATCAGTCAAGAGAGTCAGCTTAAGAGTGAGCTGGTAGGAGTCCATTCTGGAGGAAGCTCTGAGGATTCTCAAGTTTAGTCAACAAGTATTTTTCAAGTGCCCACTATGTGCCAGGCACCATGCTAAGATCTCCTGTACTGGGGTGGCGCAGTGGATAGAGCACTGGCCCTGGAGTCAGGAGGACGTGAGTTCAAATCTGAACCCCTACACATAACACTTACTAGCTGTGTGACCCTGGGCAAGTCACTTAACCGCATTGCCTAGCAAAAACAAACAAACAAACAAAAAGATCTCCTGTACCTCTTTCAGCAAGGGGTGAGGGGATTCCTTTCTTTCTCCCTGCTCTGCCTCCCATTAACAACGATATCACATGGCAGAAGTACATGGCCATAACAAACATGTGCTTGGACAAATCCTGACAGGGGAACTAAAGTACATTGCTTCCTGAGCCCCAGTTTTAAGTGTAGAGAGGCTGGAAGGGTGACTATTTGGAGCCTGCAACAGTGTTTCCAACATTTAGCAGATGGCAAGACTCAAAGGCAATATTCCAAGGTAGCAGACACGGAGAGTATTCCTGCTAGTTCTCAGGTAAAGATTTTAGTTCTTTCCTGAGAGAGCCTGGCGGGAACCTACCCAAGGATTTCAGCTGAACTAGAACCTGGAGGCTGCAAAGACTATTGTCAATCAGGAGAGAATTAGAGCACCACACATCACAGGCTATGTAGCCAAACCAGCAGTGGAGGCAAGGTCAGAGGGCTCCAGAAGAAGCATCATGATGGCAACACTAGAAAATGTCAGCAGTTCTATACCAGAGCATGAAAGGATGAAGGGCCCTCCCACATTTGCCTCAGCTATGCGTGCTTTCTACAAATGTGCCTCTCCATATATGTTCCATATGTGGGTATCTTTATACTGTTGCTGTGTGTATTTATGCCATGCAGGTTCTTGAGAGAGATGTTTTGTTGCTACTTTTCTTCTGTGCCATTCAATTAAATGCCTTTGCTCTGAAATAATTGTGTCCTCTGGCTATCCATTAAGCCACATACGTTATATAGCCCATGAACTATGGAAAAATAGAGAATTAGAACCATTTCCTGGTTCTGCTTACTTAACCTCACATCAATAATTACAGTTTTCTTTTGCTTCTTTGAATTCTTTATATCATTATTTCTTAAAGTCCAATAATAGTCCATGACACTTATATTTACCAGTTAGCTTAGTTATTCTCTGATAGGCACCTATTTTGTTGCTAGTAATTTACTACCACAAAAATGTTGATATGAGTATTTTGTTGTCTTTATGTCTTTTGTTTTCTTGGGTTCTAATAGTGGAACTCTGGATGAAAGGTACAAACATTTTAGTCCCCTTTTATTTTAGACAATTGGGGTTAAGTGACTTGCCTAGGGTCACACATAGGTTATATAGCTCATCAACTATGGAAAAATAGTCTTAGGGAAAGTAGAATTATAGAGAACTTTACACCTGGGGTAGCTATTTCTTATGAATTAAGTGCTACTCCCAGAGGTTACACTGACTGCCTCAGGGTCCCATGATTTGTACCTGACTCAAGATTCAGACCCAGGTCTTTCTTCCTTAATGATAAAACCTGTCTCTAAAGGAGTTTTAGCAGGGAGAACGAGGACAGGAGAGAGATGGTAAAGGGTTTAGCAGTGAGTGTGTGCTACCATGTGCAGGCAAAGAGAGGATGGCAGCAGGGTCAGGATAAGGTAGATGAAACCACAGGCTATTTGTAGGCTAAAAGGAGAGAGCCAGTGGAGAGATGATTGAAAGAGTAAAATCCTGGAGGAAACAAGCAGGGATGAGATCAAAGACAATTGAGATGAAAGTTAGACTTAATAGAAAAAGAGGCTGATTAGGGCAGCAGATGGAGCTGGCAGACTAAAAGCTTTTATTTACAAAAAAAAAAAAAAGATTATGTAAGCATGAATAAGGCACAACTGTGAAGCAATCTTCATTTGTCCCTGATGCCCTCGTACTCTTTAGCATCCATTCCTCCAAATCTGCCTCTATCGTCTCCTCGTGTCACCGTTGGCCTATTCCTAAACATGGAGTCATCTTTGATGTCTCTTACATCCAGTTGCTCAACTAAAATGCCACCTCTCTTGAGAGCCTTCTCTGAGGTCTTCAGTGGGCAAAGATCTATCCTCTTATGCAGAACTTGTTTTCCAACTCTGCAATGTAGTTATCATGAAATATTGTGTATTGCATATGTACTCTGGACCCTTTCTTCTACAGCCAAGACTGCTACATCTCTCCCTCAGGATTCAAGGGTACCCTGAGGGATTAGTGGGATATCTTTCTTTTCTACAGCCTCTCTCGTTCCACCAGCTGTGATCCCCAACCCAGTATCAGAGGCCTATGACTAGTACCCCAGTTGAAAAGCACTTAATATCAATTAGTTTTCACAAAGAGATATTTGCTTCAAAGATAGAGTAATAATCTAAGTACATTTTCCCCAGCATAGCATTGGTCCTCTCCTAAAGTTCATGCCCAGATGTGGCATTACTGCCAAATGAATATTTCTACTGGGCTGGGATCTGGAAAAATCACTCCCTTTTCCCTTGTTCCCCAAGTCATCAAAGTGGAGCTGGCTGCAAAACCTGCCTAGATTCTGACTATTAGAATCTAGTGCTCAGCCACTAGACTACTGTGTCTTAATATCCCAATCAAGGTTGGAGACTCTGTTCCCTTCATATAGAACAGAAAATGGAATGATAAGACCAAGTACCAAAGCCTGTTTCCCTGGGGCCATTTGATCTTAGAGGGAAAAAGACTCTAAGGACATTTCTCTTACCCCCTAGTCTCTCACAGGAAGCTCTGAGAGAGTCATTGAGCTCCCCCAGACGTGAACTGAGCAAAGAGGCACCTCGAGCCGACTCAAGCCTTTTTGAAGATGACAACAGTTCTGACTACACAGCCAGTCACAGAAGGCTCCTCCCCACCATGTAGTGAGCCAAGCAAAACCAGTCACAGAATGCCTACACTTACTTAACATTCTCTAAGCATTCCACTTCACATGATTATGATTCTTTTTTAAAAAATTGAATATTTTATTTTTCTCTATTACATGTAAAAACATTTTTAACCTCCATTTTTTACAATTTTTGGTTCTAAATTGTCTCCCATTCTTCCTTCCCTTGCCCATCATTGAGAAGGTAGACGATTTGATAAAGACTATATACGTTTAATCATGTTGTGATGGAAACATAGGCCAAAAAAAAAAAAAGAAAGAAACAAAAAGAAAGTAAAATAACACTGTGTTTCAATCTACATTTAGATCCCATCAGCTCTTTCTCTGGAGGTAAACAGCGTGTTTCATCACAGGTACTTCAGAATTCTCCTGGATTTTTGTATTGCTGGGAATAGCTTTTAAGTGATTTACAATTGATCATTGTACAGTATTGCTATTGTACATTGTTCTCCTGGTTCTGCTTCCCAGGTTTTTCTGAAAGCACCCCACTCATCATTTCTTATAGCATAATAATATTCTATCACCATCATATATCAGAACTTGTTCAGCCATTCCCCAATTTATAAGCATTCTCTCAATTTCTAATT